TCAATAGACTTTACCATAACTCTCACATGACCATCGCGTTGTACTTTATAAAAGAAAAGCTCTTTTTTAATTGTAGTCTCGAGGTAAACTAGCATTCCTTTTATATCACTGACTTCAGATAAGAATATAGGTGGCGGCTTGGCAGATTCAGTTAAGCTATCTTCAGTTATCATGTCCAGTGCTTCGTTTTCATCTTCATTTCCGTTATTTGGCGTGCTGTCGCTTAGGAGGGCATATTGATTGGAGCTGGTTCTGGGTGCTAAGTCCAGAGCGATTTTTTTCTTTAGTAGAATAGGAGAGACTTGGTTTTGTCTCTTGACTGCCTTTGACTTCAATTTTACTCTCTGCCAGTTCCAAACCGTTGTGTCGTCTTCGTCGTCGTTCATGATAACAACAACACTTTGTTATTGCTTATCAGTAACCACTATTTTGTTTGCTTTTGTTTTGTGAATCAAATAGTACTTTTGCTTTATATTTACGAACTGAAAGTTTTTGCTAAGGCAACTTCGGCTCAAAAATTTACTTTTATTTCCGAAATTTTATTTTCACTTTCTCTCCTAGATGTTGCTCCTACGAGCAGCTCCGTTCGATCCGAGTGAGTAAATATTTGATTTCTAATATTTTACATAACATAACAACCAATTGCGCTGTAGAGATTATATAACAAAAATAAATAAAATATGTTCGGTATATAATGGTATATTTAATTAATTTTATCTTCCGATTAAATTCAATTTTTTAAATTATTTTCAATAATACAGGGTATCCAAACTCCCATACGTATGTTTTTCAAATATCTCTCGAGGACGTTCTCTCTTCTCCGTAGGACATTTTCTCTCCCTTTTGAAGGTATATTTCTCTCTCGCAACATGGGAATTTTCATCGCCACAATGATTCTTTATTGTATTCCATTCCTTATGTTGAATTTCATTCCCACTAACGTGTTTCACCGTTGGCAACATAATTTGTATGGGCCAGCAACATGCTGAGAAAAGAAAGCAGCATGATGCGAATAATAAGCAGCGGTGTTCCCCAACATTTTTCTTGGAATAAGCAACATCCCTTTGGAGGGATGGATGTCCTCGAGTTGAGAAAATTATGGAAATCTTTTACTCTAATCAATGAAAAAACAAGTAAATCTGCATTGGAAAGATATCTTAACAAATTTTGCATAATATAGAAACATTAAGCCATTATTATGTTTAACAGCAGCTTTGAAAACGAAATGGTAATATTAAATAATGGAAGCAGGGTACGCAAAGGAACATACTACTGGGTGGCCAGCAACAAGATGTCAAATAACGTAACAAAACATTCTTTAAACTTAGCATTTATTTATTATTTTTTTTCTGACCCTTTTAGCTATATCGCTATTTTTGTAAACAATTCAATAAAAGATGTCATAAATAGTAGGCCAACCTTGTGGCAAAAGTATTGTACAATCGTAGAAAATTTTAGCGCCACGGCTGAGAATGAAGAAATTAATTTGCAGTGGCTAAACCCACCCTGTCCCGCAGCTTTTGTTGTTCTTTTCACATTCTCTCATTCACACTCTGCTTCTTCTTCACTCGGCCCCTGCCTCTGTCGTTCCCCTGCCTTTGCCTTTGCCTACTTTTAACCCACCCCACTTTTCAAAACAAATAATAACATAGAATAGCAAACAATATGCTGCAGACATGTTTATTTCTAAAAATAAAAATAAAACATCCAAAATAAAATAGTAGTTGCATGCATATTTCATTGTCTTCCGCTTACGTATTCATTCGTAAACAATGAAGAAAAAGAAGAAGAAGACAATGAAAAAATCGTGCGCTACACAACCTCTTTGGCAAACGACTGACAAGCTGGTATTCCTCGAATGAGGAGCACTGTGCCGACAACGTCACCTATTAGTAATTTCACCATGGGCGGGCATACAATAAGACGCTCAGGCACATTCCACCAACGCGGGATAGGGCCCGTTTCTTATTCAATTTAAGGTAAAGCATAGGGGGGGGGGGGGGGGGGGGGGGAAAGAGGGGGTCACCACGGCTTGTGGTTGAGCCCATGAAGTAATTATATGAGGAGGTGCCGTCGGGTCGGGTAAAAAAAAGTACTAAAAACCAGAATACCGACTACTTTCGAGTAGTAGCTTATTGAAAAATCAAATTAAAAAAATAACTTAAACTCTCCTTCTTGTAAGGGGTAACTTTAACCTATGCCATCATAGGGTTAATCAACAAACTCCATTGTCGTTTCACTCACACTTACAGAGCAGAGCCCTTTCACTCGCACTTGCAAACAGCACCTCGGCACCTCCTTATATTATTACTTCATGGTTGAGCTGAGGTTTTGGGGAAGTCGTTTTCGTTTCACCGGCAGTGACTTATGTCCATGGTCTTCTAGACTGTGGATACTGCGGCAACGCTTCCTCGCCGCTGTCGCGATGTAAATCCAACCACTCATCGGAGCTCAGAGGCAGCACCTCAGAGCCATTGAGACCGGCAGAGGCGCGATCCATCCACATAAGAATGTTACTCTTCACCAGGTTGATCTGCGGACCTGAAAAAGACAGTTAAAGGGTAACAGTTTAAAAGTGACAGTTTCAATGTGTCTTCAATGTGTGGCATTCATCTGGGTAGCACTAGCAGAATAGGCACCTCGATGAACAATTGACCCTCGGTCGAGCCTTGGCCAGGCCTCTGGAAGCATCCTACGGACAAATTAACGCACAAGACATAGACACAAGAGTAAAATATATATTCTTTCTTCGCTTTTTTTTGGTTCCTCTTTCCTTTCATTCGTATACAGTTTTGCCGCGACAAAAAATATCAAATATCATCTGACCATCTGACAGCGCTTTCAGAATATGTTGGTTTGTTTCCTTGAGGGAAAATCGTGTCGGGTAGTGTAGATTAGGGTCTTTGATCCAAATTTAATTTACTAATTGTATTTTCTGTTTCATTATATGTAGGTCATATGCCTTTGCATGAACTTTCGTTCAGCAAATGGTAAAAAAAATTCTGTAGCATTTTCCAAACATAAAATTGGCGAAATTACAGTAGATGCAGTTGATCCAATTGAAAATATTGCAGATATTGCGATGGGATCCATTGATATTGGAGAATTTCCCATAGTTGATCCACATTCCATTCCACAGTTGTTCGCTTTTTTTTCAATGGGATCAACTGCTATGGGACTCATATTAATATTGAGACACATCCATTGAAAAATATTTATAGAGATTTTCAAAATAAATCCCAGAATATTGATTTATAATAATGAATAATCTAAGCAAATAATTGATTTAGAGACAAGATCGCTGATAATGGAGGATGGTATCCTTCGAAACAGTCAAAATCTCAATGAATTACTTTAAAAGTGTGCAGATTATAGAGACCGAGAATGTATACAGATCGGTATATAATTGATTAAATATATAGTTGATTAAATGGATTTACATATATTATTAAGTATAGCATATATATTTTTTTGGTTGACTTTTTTAGTATTAACCTTATTATGCAATCAATTGAGGAAAGATGTATCATAAAATCAGCAAATCCTGAGGAAAATTTAATGACGATTTGAGTAAAATTACATTTTTAAAGCTGAGTAACCTTACCAGCTTGTAATATTAAACTGATCATCACTGTATATTTTACGGTATATTTTGAAAATGATAAAGTATGTTTCGGAATATTTTCGAGGCCATCACGGTATATTGTATCGATAATTCCGCGGTCACACTGCATTCTAGGCTGTCGTAATTTTTGGAATACACCCAGTTTTAAGACAATCGATTTAATTTAATAGTGTGTAAATGGAATACAATTGTTTCAGAAGTGGTTTTAAATGTATTTTAACATGTTCGAAAATTCAATGGATAAAGTAGATTTCAGATGTACATATGAATACATACATACATATGTATCACAGGTGGTCTAACATGTAAAACTTCAGCATATTTTGTGTTATATATATAAAAAGGTAAAATAACCCACAACAATTTGATGACTATCATTCAACCTACATCCATACATATATATGTATGTAAAAAATATAAGCATTTAAGTTATTTTAGTTATTAAGAAACAATTTCCGAACATTGACAGCAAATAATTCAACTGTTACTCTATAAAAAACAGTTTGGATGTGGATACTTCAGGACATACATACATATGTATGTGTTCAACGTCTTTACATACTTTGTAGTTAAATAATTTGGAAGTAGAAGTAGTTATTTAAATAGATACCTATGGTATAAAGTCCACAGTCAACTAAAAATTATCTTATACAAAATAAAGATACACTAACAGATTTGAGCAATACCACAAATGCCTACATGCATATGCATCTACATATATGTAAATATGTACATAAATATGCATGACTGCATTTACACATCGGTATTCACAAATTTAAGGACTCTAGTTTGCCCGAAAGTTTCTATGAAAATAGCTGTTACGTAACTACTGACTGCACACGGATCTTTAATAAATATTTTGAAATTTTTTAAGTGTTGATTTATGAAATTGATTTGTTGTTAGAAACTCTGCTTACAAACAACTTACCAAATTGCACCATATATATATATACTTTATTGGTATTTGTAAATTAATTGGCCTATTCCAAGCAGGAAAGGTCCCTGTATGCGCTGTTAACACTTAAACAGGGGTAAAAATAAATCCACACAAGAAGCGACGATAAGAATATAAATGTTTGCCACATGTTAATAAAACCCAGCAAACAATTTGGTAGTACTCTCGCGTATCTCCGAGAAGAGTCTTTTGGAAGTCGCTAGATGAATCTTTCACCGATTCCCGGTGATAGTTGAGCGATAACAAGATAATGAAAGTAGGACATGGTCCTAATTGCGTTAGTTTCGTAATTTATATATCTACATTTTTATGTATTAAGAAGCCCTCTTTTGGTAAACCTAAATAAATTTCAAATTAAAAAAAATGTTTTTGTATTTAGGAGACTTTTCTGGGCGACGTTTTGTGATGCTTTCAGGAGACTCTTCTACATATCTCAAACATATGAGTGACTCTTTGGCGACACTTTCGAAAGACTCCTCGGCGACTCTTCTGGAAGTGTCGCGGAATTGGCTCACTTTCGCCCAACAGAAGATCAGAAAAAGAGAAGAAAGCGATATCGCTGGCGATCAATTTAATCTCCTTGGCGAGTCGCCTGAGACTCTTCCGCGATAGAAATGGTTTCCTTAAGGAAAGCCTATCTGGTTTGAATTAAAGTACTGGGCTTTGCGCTATTCCACTTGTGGATATTATAGCTTTAAAAAAAGAGAGCGTAGTTTGTTGGTTTATACATATGAATGTTCGACGACAAGAATGAATTGTTGATTGATTGTCTGTTGGAACGATAGCTCCTTGAATCTAATTTATCGAATCATCAAGGGATCGAGCCTATGAGCTGTAAAAATCGATGAGATAGGAAGGCAGAAAAATAAAGAATATACCAATGCCACAGATTCTACACGCCTACAATAAGATAATGGGTGGTGTCGATTTTTTTGGCAATGCCTCAAAAAACTGTCGTGTTAGAGTGGGAAGCAAAAAGTAGCCGTTATGCTTAACTGATGGAATTTCGACTGTGTTTTGAACTGAACGGGCAGAGAATCGGAGAACTCCAAAAATATGCTGATGCCACAACTACCTTCCCATACAATTGTGTCAATATACTTGTTGCGACATGCAAGTCCGGCGATATCGAGGATTTCACATTCACCTAACAACAATTTAAAAGAGAAGGGACATGTCACAACTTTTATACCCGGCACTCAGTACTACATCTGCACCTTAGCGGTGTAGTCATCTACATCTACAACACTTGTCACACCCACACACTGCAGACTCGCGGCACAAAAAAAAACAAATATAAGCTGCGGGACGGGGTGGGTGGGTGGTGTGGGACGGACAGACAGACTTGGCTCAATCGACTCGGCTATTGATGCTGATCAAGAATATATATCCTATATGGGGTCGGAAACGTTTCCGTCTGTGTGTTACATACAACCGTTATTCGCACAAATACAATATACCCTATTTACTCTTCGAGTACCGGGTATAAAAAAGCACTCAATGATATAAGAGCAAACAGAACATATCATGGCATTCTAAAAACTGAAAAATCATTTCATTGTCGCGTTTTTTAGGAGCATGCTGTAAATGCTTCAAATACGATGTTTCTGTGACTCTTATAGACACTTTTATAGACACAGGTTTCACTCGGTAACAGGGGGTAGCAGGAGTCACGGGTACAAAACTACGAAACTGGTTACTCACTGTGTAGATACACGTTATATATATAAGTAACTTCTACAATATACGTATGTAACTCTTAAGAACATGTGTATATTAAACCGAAGGCCTCATCTATGTCTATAACTATTATTATTTCCTTTTCTATGTATTTATTGAGGTCATAGAAGACATCGAATCCATTTAGACATGGCAAATACGAAGAGTTAAAGGGTATATTGCATTTGTAGTCGGAGGAAAGTGCGTAACGCACTGTAACGTATATGTATGTACATACATATTGATCAGTATCAATAGCCGAGTGGATATAGCCTTCTCTGTCCGTCCATCCGCCCGTCTGTCTGTCCCTCTTGTTTGACGCATAGAGACTACAAGAGCGAGTGTAATCAAATTTTGTGTTAAGGCTCATGTGATGTCACATTGAATCAAAATTGCTTCTTAATTTCGGCGCAGCCATTTCAGCAGCTTTGCTTGGTCTTGCTCATTCTCTCTCGCACGCACACTTTACTCGGAGAAGCTACACGGGCGTGACGTACGGACGTATGGGTACGGACAAGGTTAACTACCCAGCCCTGGGGCGAGATCTAGGGGCAACGTCGGCCCCGCTGACACCAAGCCAACTTGTAACACCCCTATCGTCCAATCATCCAAGAATTTGACGCACATAAAAGCATACGGTTTCAGAAAAATAAAAGATAAAATAAATATGTTACTCACATGTTACCCGGATCTCACAGAATTTAGGGATATTTTATTTTTTGGGATCCAATTTGATCCATATGCATACATACAGAAGGAAAAATTGCCGACCAAATTTATTGCCATGTTCTTTGCACCTGACCAACCTAACTTTCCCTGGCAAAAGATATTTCAATGTACATAGATGACAGATGTAGCGAAAAAATTGAAACAAAATGTTCTTAAATCTGACTGACACGTTTTTAATTAATTCTAAGTTTACAATATTTTTTTTTACAGATATTACTTATGAGGAAGAACAGCCTATAGCTACCAAAAATATTTTAAAAACATACGTTCTAAGATTCAAATTGTAAGGAAATTTTAGAGCTTACAATCGAAATCATAAGAATATTTATTATGAAGCCTACATCAGGCGAAACGTTAAGAGCTTGGATTTTTTCGGCTCTAATGGTACATGGAGCTGTTGCAGGCAATCCAGATGCAAAACGGCTTTATGACGATCTCTTGAGCAACTACAACAAATTGGTCCGGCCTGTTGTTAACACCACAGATGTTCTTAAAGTGTGCATTAAATTAAAACTTTCACAGCTTATTGATGTGGTGAGTACAAAGTAGCGTACACATGAAGCTCTTGGTATATTTCGTTGCATTCTACTAAAACTTAAAACAGAAAGGCTCTCTTGAGCTTTATGCATTTAGGCCGGCTTCTTCATCTTTCATCTACATCAACAACAATTCTCACGCCAACACGCTTCTTTAGCTCGCCACCCTCCCCTAGAGCCACACACTGCAGAGTCAAGGCAGAGACGCGGCGGGGTGGGTTTAGCCATTGCAAATTAATTTCTTCATTGTGGCCATAACAATGATCCAATCGGATCCCAATTGGTGATCTGTTAGATATGGCCGACAAACAAGACGGACAGACAGACATGGCTCTATCGACTCGGCTATTGATGCTGATCAAGAATACATATACTTCATTTTCCTTCTGTGCGTTACATACAACCGTTATTCCCCAGAAATAGAATATACCCTATTTACTCTTAGAGTACCGGGTATAAAAAGCACACAGCCTCTTCGCATGTTAGCCTTACGGAATTTCTGACTGGAAGACTTATTGGTGAATCCAGACTGCTGCGGTATCACATTGATAAAAGTGTATATTAAAATTTCGCCCCGTCCCTTTTCGTCTCCAGAAAGGTGAAAATCTGATATGGAGATATGGAGAAAAATGTAGCCATAAACTATTTAAAATTCGATAAAAATCATAATCATACATATGTTAATGTATGTATATATGTATGTATGTTTATGAGTACCGGCTATACAAGTAGAGGCGCGACGTTATGCGGCCCCACAGCGCTTCGCCTAGTTTTGTATAATACTATACAAAATACAAGTGCAATATTAAAAGAGTTTTTCTTTACAAACAATATCAAGAAAATCTAATTAGGTGTCTGGGCGGCTGTACCTGAGTTCGATTCGGTAATATTCTTACGACTCTTTTTATACCCGGTACTCGAAGAGTAAATAGGGTATATTGTATTTGTGCGAATAACAGTTGTATGTAACGCACAGAAGGAAACGTTTCCGACCTCATAAAGTATATATATTCTTGAGCAGCATCAATAGCCGCGTCGATTGAGCCATGTCTGTCTATCCGTCCGTCTGTCCGAACATCTTGTTGAGAGCCTCCCAATCCCAATTGGATCATTATTATGGCCACAATGAAGAAATTAATTTTCAGTGGCTAAGCTCACCCCTTCCCGCAACTTTTATTTGTTTTTTGCACATTCTCTCATTCACACTCTACTTCGCACAGTGTGCGGCCTCTGCCTCTGCAGTGTGTGATTCTAGGGGAGGGGGCGAGCTAAAGGAGCGTGTTGGCGTGAGAAGTGATGTAGATGTAGATGTGGATGAAGATGTAGAAAAAAGATGTAAAATGCAAAATTTTAAATTTGAAATAAAACTGTTAAGGTACAGATGTTCTACTGACTACCGGATATAAAAGTTGTGACGCTTAAAAAAGCGCCTCACACGTCCCTTCTCGTTTTTTCCATCATCGTTACAATTTATCTTACACCGTACAATTTATTTACGGCGGCGAAGCTGGTCGAATTAACCAAGAGCTTTATGGCGCTCCCGCATCGCCCCAATCTACTTTACTCTACAATTTCAAACAATAACATAAATAAAAAAACTTTTGGCATAAAGCTACAACAAGCAAACGCACTTGAGCAAACAAATAAAAACACCGAATTTAATCATACATTTCTTAAATGTTTGTGTTGATTAACGAATTTTTTCATTTTTACTTTATAGAACTTAAAAAATCAAATTATGACCACCAATCTTTGGGTGGAGCAGGTAAGATAACTAATAAGCTGTCCTTTATTATACGCGATTATCGAAGAGTTACGCGGTATATTTGATTTGTGGTGCGTAACGCACAGAAGGAACCGTTTCAGACCCTATAAAATATACATATCTTGATTAACATCAATAGTCGACTCGATAAAGCCGTGTATGTCTGCTCATCAGTCTTGTTTGAAACCGTGTTCTCAGAGCCTATAAGAGATAGAGTCACCGAATTGTGCGTAAAGACTCATATGACATCACACAGAATCAAGTTTTTTTTTCCAAATCAAAGGTCTAAAATATGTCATACAGATATAAAAAATCCGAAAACGCAGCTTCATGGAAAAGGGCCATGTCTATTGTATCGCCGAATTGGAGACAGATGGGATTATTATTATTATGGCCAGAATGAAGACATTAATTTGGAGTTTCCACCCCCCAACACCTCCAGCAGCACGGACTATGCTTGTGTCTTCACTATTGCTCACAAACTGTGCCTCGCTGCTAAAAGGGCGTGTTGGTGTCAAAAGAGATTTAAGTGTACATAGGTGTAGCCAAAATATAGAATTCGAAAAAAAACACATGCTCAGGAATTTATGCCAACTGAGAACAGGGTATAAAAGTTAAGTACCCTCGCGAAAATTTAATTTATGCTCTGTCTTGTCTTATTTCATCGCTTATTACTTTCACTT